GGGGTGAGTACGATACAATCATTTAATGTAATTGCAAGTGCATAGAAGTTTTCAAATATTTAGTTTTTCCAAAATTTATACAACATTTGGCCACTACTCATTCATTTTGCTTGTAAAGATGAAAAATCGAATATTTTAAGGAAAAATCACGATTCTGGTTTGAAAAATGAATACAAAAGGGTGATTTAAAAAAACAAGATATGCAGTCATAGATTAATAATGAAATTCTGGTTCAGTAAAAGAAGACCAAAACAATAATAATTTTTAAGTATACATTATTGCTAGATTAACTAGCAATAATGTATATAAAACTTTTATTTATAACAATTTTTTATATAACATTTTTATAATAAATTATTGTTGTAAATTAATAAATCATATTTTGATGCATAAGAAGACGTCATTAATGACGTTGTAAAATTTTATTCAAATTTTCTATTTTAGTTTTATTAAATTTTATTAAAAATATTTATTATAGCAACTACATAAACAAAATAAAGAATTCCAAATTCATTTAATAAATATTTAACAATCTTACTTTATTGCATTTTTTTTCGTTTATTTGCATTTTTATTTAAAAAATTTTAAATAAAATTTTAAAAAAATTATTCTATAGCATTTTCATTATGATTAAAAATACAACAATAATATTAATAAATTTTGTTCTCATACGAGTATAAGAAAATTATTTTCAATTTTAGAATCTTCTTACGCATTATAATAAAAAAAAAAAAATTTAGAAAAATGTAGTAAACAGAAAAATTTATTTGATTTTTTAATTTATAGAAGAAAAATATTTTAAATGTAATATAGCTGCTATAAGGTTAATAAGTATGTCAGAGTAGGCAATTAAAATAAAATGCATTTTAATTTTAATAGGTAGCTATAGATATTATGTACATATATAATGGCTGTTCTTCATAGTTTCCATACATACACGTATACTATAGTTAGTTGTATTATATTTAATTTAAAATGATTCTATATACATATATTTGGAAAAAAGATTACCAATATCTACAATGGTTTACACTGGTTCATGTGGCAACGTTTCACATTTCACCAAAAAAAAAAATATAATAATAAGGGAGTATATTTGTGCCACTTCAAATTGCTTCGTGTAATATGGTGCAAATAGTATGAAATTTAAAGTATATGACTGAAATTTCATATAAATGGTTAATATTGGTTGTTTTCACTATATATCTAGTATTAATACGTTTCTTAACACCGAAAGAGCATACATGTAAAATGTACCTACTATACAGATTTTTTTTTTAATGAATTCTTACTTTTAAATTTTCTGCATATATAAATAAATTTATTAAAATTTAGAAAATTGTCTTGTTTTCGATAAATAACCATTCAAATTAATATTGGAATTTATGCTGAATTATTTAATGTTTTAGTTACAGAGGTATTCTGAATTATGGTCAATCTTTTGAGAATTAATTATGACTTGAAAGCAAGACATTGCTCTACTTGTATTTATGTAAATAAATAATTCAATAAAAGATTTATCACATTTTAAAAAGAAAAAAAGATTTTACTAATAAAGAAAGGAATTTAAAAATTGTCTGTTTCGAAATTTGAGAAAAATTGTACAAGTTTTTAGTAAACAATTTTAACTTTTTGGTAATAATTTTACTAAATATTTATTTATTCGTTGATAATACTGCTAAGGCTATAATATTATTAAATCCTGTACACTTTCATTAAAACCCGAATTTTAGCACTAGTTTTTGTTTTTTGAAAGTAATACCTATACTTTTTTTCTAAAACCATCATTGAAATTTTTTTACATAAACAAGTAGCAGTAAACTTAAATTAAACACTCAATTAATTAATCAAACGATTTTAAAATTAAAAACTTATTTTGTTCACTGAATTAATTTTAACTAATCAAAAAAGCACATAGCACCAAAATTTTATCAAATAAACTAAGCAAATGCAACTATTAAGTTTTTATACAAGTACCTTTTACAACTTTATGAATCATTTAGTATACGAATGTAATTACATATAAAATTTAAAAAAATATTGCAATAAATTACAAAGTATGTACTAAAAATCTGAGTACAATTGCCAGTTTTAAAATAATTATCTCATTCTATATAATTTAACACCCAATATTATCTATGCACACAACATTTACCCCAAAAAAAATAAAAATAAAATATAAAAGAAAATAAATAAAAAAATATTTATTTATATTATTGCATATTTATAGGCATTTTATTACCCTTTCTTCAGTCATTTTTACTACCTACACATTCCACCATTAATTTTATTTTTTTTTATTTTTCATTCACTTTAATTTAAATCTTATTTTTCTTTCTTTTTTGTCATTTTTTCCAATTTTAATTTTTTTTTTTTAATTTATTATCTTATTTATAACCTTATATTAACCTTTTATGATGCCATCATGCAGATTATTTAGATTTACTAAAAAAAAAAAACTAAAAGCAGAGAAAAAATTCGTAATAGTTGTAAGAAATAAAAAGAAAAATTTCGCGAATCAATTTAAAAAACATTATTTATATTTTTTCCCCTATATTTATTAAAAAAAAAGGACCTCTTTTTACGAACAGAAAAAAATTACACAAATAATAAACAAAACTGAAAAAGAATTGAGAAAATAGAATGAAAAAAAAAAAAAAAAACAATAAAAAAAAATTTGTTTGGAATAGAAAACTGAAAAATTGCTATTAGGAGAATTATTCGATCTTGGGAAATCAAAAAAAAACCTAAAAGGAGAAGAAAAAGGGGGTGTTTTAGTTGCAAGAAAAAAAAAACACACACACACAAAACAAGAAATCAAATGATAGAAAAATAATAATAAAAATGGAGATGAAAATTACAAAAATCCTTGGAAACAACAAAACAACAATAACAACAACGAATAAAATAAAAATGAACAGGCAAAAAAAAAAAAAATATGTACATTCCGATAGATATAAGCTGAAAGGCGCGCCACAAAATCTGAATTGTCGCGACTTTAAGGCGCCTTTTTGATTTCTCATAATGTATGGATGCTAACAAAAAAAAAAAACATAATAAAAAAAAAATAAAAATTATTATTATAATAACAACAACTAAAATAAAAGCGATTTACACACACGTACACACAAAATACATACACATACGTACATACTTTTACTTATATTTTCTGTATATTTATGTATGTATGTACAGTGAATGTTTATATAGAAATATAAAAGTAAATGTATGTACAATGCGTAAAGTTTGCTCTGGCAATACTTATGTATTAAATGTTACATACTGCGAATGATGATGATTAAAATAATGATGATGAAAATAATGGTTTGTGTGGTAAAAGTATTGGTCGCCGAAAAAAAAAAATTTTTTTTTTCCTCTTATTTCTTAATCCAAAAATTTATTATTTTTTATATTTAAATTAATTTATACATATATGTAAAATACATACATATGCACATACATATCGTATGTATAAATAAAGCGCTTTTATAATAAAATGTGACACAAAGTTATATGTTCCGCATATTCTAAAGAAAATTTTTGTCTACACACACTTACTCTATATAATAATATTATTTATATGCATATATATAAATATGTATGTAAATTTCAACGTGCAAAAAAGTAAGAATTAAGTGCTCGTATCCTGTAATATTTTATTAGAAAATACTATCCATTTATGTACCTATATATGTATATTCAAATATAATACATACTCTCATATACAATATATTTTTTTTGCGAGGGAAATGAAAGCCAAGAAATTTTGGCTTTCATATAGAAATTATATGAATAAAAAAAAAGAACAAGAAAATAAAAACAAAAAAAAATTTAAAAATTTTAGTTTTTTATTTTCATATTTATAAATGAAAGAAAACAATTAAGAAAAAAAATGCACTATACGCCATTTTAATTGTAATATATTTGCACTTTTTTGCACCATACGGTAATATGTATATGTGTATATGCAATACAGATTCCAGTTGATCTTAATTTTCAAATTTAATACGGTGTGCACGTTGGTTTTAGTAATTACCTTCCAAAATCTTTTAACCAATAAAAGATTTTGAAAAGCAACGGTGCCTCGTTATATGCAATTTTTCTAAACTACTCATATAATGTACACATATGTATGCACTTTAAACAGTGAAACCTACAAAAATTAATTAATTCTTTGTAAATTAGACACAGGAAGAAGCTTAATTAATTTTTATTAAAAGGCTACTCGTAACCTTACCATACAGCCATTAAAAAATAATTTACACTTGCATAAGTGCTTGCGAAGGTAACAAAATTCAAGTTTAGCGTAAACAAGCATGATAACAAGACCACTGCTCCAATAAAATTTGGTTACAAATCATGGTTGCACATATATTTTTACTGTTATTGCCATATACATAATTTAATTATACCTTAAATAAACTTATTTAAACTACACTACTCAAATTCCATACCAATAAATTTAAAAGTAATTCCTAATACTTATATGAGTTTCCCAGTTTCAAGAGGTTTTAAATTTTAATTGAAGACTCATAATTGTTAAGATTCTAAAATTTCATATAAAGTTATAAATAAAGTATAACAGTAAACAAAAGAACGTAATCGAAACTTCTTTGCTACTTAATACTAATTTTTTTATTTGAATTATTTCATTATTTGCTATATGCAGTATAAATTACTGATATGCGTAAACTTATATACATATAAATGTGATGCAAATTTGATACAAGTATGGTACATTTCCTGTACAATTCGAAAATAATTTATATTAAATTAATATTTCATTGATATAATAGTCGTTAAATGTAGATTATAAAATAATTTAACCTTGATCCTAAAAGATTCACTTTACATAATCTTAATGAAAACAAAAACTACAAAAGAAACGCGTGCAGACTTAACATAAAAAATATAATCATGTAAAATGTAAATTTAATAAGAATTTTAATAAGAATTTTATAATCACCTAAAAAAATTGAATATTTTAAATTTTAACTCACCTTAAAACAATTAACAATAAAGGTGTCTCGCACTTTCTTTTTTTTTGATAAAAATATTGAAGAAAAATTAAAACATGTATAAAATTATTTTCCAAAAAAAAAAGAAGGTTTCGTTCGTTTATAAATAAAACCTGCAAAGAAAAAAATAAAATAATTAAATTAATTTTAATTTAATTTATAAAATAACAAATAAAGCCAAAATTAAATATTATATAAAATAAAATTCCAAGACTCATAATTTATACGACCAAATATAACACATAGGTATTAAATATAGATTTATTGAATTTGCTGTTACCTAACTGTCAATAAATTTGTCAATGCACTGAAGCACTTTCATTAAAAAAGAAATCAACCAATTCAAATTACCCCAGAAAAAAAAGTGAAATGAGGCCAAAGTTGAAAATCAAATTGTTGTTCCGAATTAAAGTAAGGTATGTAAGTCCTACGAACGTATGTTCGAAGAGTATAATAAATTTGCTTTACCGTTTGTAAGAATATAAGATTTGCCTTATCGTTTGTAAGAAATAATGGTCTGAGATATAGGCTCAGACCATTAGTATCATACATAAGTATATCAGCCTCGAACTCGATTTAACTATGCCGATCCCTACACCCATCCGTCCGCCTGTACCAACAGTAACTCGAAGACTAATTGAGCTTTATGTTTTGTACACCAATTATATACGTATATAGGGAAATATCGAATTCCAAGCAATATTATCAAAGAGATACGAAAAAAATGAACGGAAATTTTTTATTTTTTTCTTTAAACTCAAATTTAAATCAGTCAATTCGAAAATATTTTTACAGCTTTAATATTAAATCTTATTTTGAGTTGGAAATCAAATATTTAAAATATTTTGTACAGCACATACTCGAAAAATTTCAAGAAAATTCGCACTTATAAGAACCTGAAATATTTGCATATTTTTTTGGTTTCGAGTAACCGGATATAAGAGAACAGTAATTAAAACTGTGTCAGATAATATAACAAATTTAATTGAGTGCCAAAAATATAAAAAAAAAAGAATATTTGTTTTCTTTTGCTATACAATAACGGAGTTTTCCTTTAATATTATAGTGTTTCTTATATAATAATCCGACTGTATATACAAGTATACACACATTCTTTTATGATTAAAAACGAAAAATGTGCATATTATGTATGTATTTCAAAAAACAATATTACTTTACATTTTTCAAAATATCGTACGATATTACTTATTTTACTATAGTAAGTACGGAGTAATATTTAAAACGTTTTATTAAATACTAAAAATTTTTGTATTATTTTCCAATAAACTTCTCGAATGACAACATTTTTCACTTGTGCAACCGAAATAAGGTGAAAAATACAAGTTTCTTTTTTTCTTTATATATTTTATTATCGTTTTTGATTTCAGAAATAGCGTAAATCAAAACTAAAGTTCAATATTACTTGGATATCAATTTGCTTGTATATCATTGTTCTTATTTTACTTTATATTTAATATACATACATATGTATTTAAATATAAATTCATATGTAGTGCTTATTTAAACTTCCAAGGTGTAAAAAGATGTCAAGTACTTAATACGGTCTTATATTATTTATTATTATTTAAAATGGGTATATAGAGGTGCACGTTTAGTATTTCGTTGCATATATAAGAATTGTACAAGGTTACTGCTATTACAGTATTGGTAATAAAATGAAAATATAAAAAATAATAAAAGAAAAAAAAATATTTATAAATTGCAAAATTACTTTACTTTAGTTAAAAACTAATAAAATAAATGTGTATAAATAAAAAATAAATTTAAATGTTATAAAAAGTGTGGTATAGCAGAGAAATACAAATACAAAAAAAAAGCAGTTTAAAGACTCTATTTAAGGTATAAGAGCAAAAAAAAAATGTGTGTAAATGAAAACAAATTTTAACTGCACTGTTCCATTTTATTAGTGTATATTATTTTCTTTTTATTATTTAATTGTGCATTTATGGTGTACCCAAGAATTTCACATTTTTTAGCACACACTACACACATTTAAATATTTATGTAAGCGTAGAAATTACTGTCTACAAAATAAAATATTTTTTCCGGCTCTAATTTTTTTGTTTTTTTCTATTTTTTTTTTCGTGCGACTACTATTCATTAGATATTTATTTAATTTTAATTTTCTCATTTAGACTTCCTTTAAAAATTTATTTTATCTTTAGAAAATCCAGTTGGAAGCCAATAACTATGTTATTAAATTTATATTTCAACTACAAATAATTAATTTAACTTTGAATTGCTAGTATTCTTTTGCTAGAAAAAAGAATTTTCATTGTAAAAAATTTGATTCCTAAATTCAATCCAACAAAATATTTGAAATATTCAAAAGAGCCCTTTATGCAATAATCTAAAAAAATTTGAAATGTTTTTTAACAATTCTAAAATAAATGGGCTCATTCCCTGCTTAAAAAGTTGCAGATATAAGAGATTCTCTTATATTTATATCTAAACAGAAAAAATTATTCGCCAAAATACGCAGCATGCGTTAATTGTTATCTTTCATGTCTTATAATTTGAATAAAATTTGTCCCAAGAAAATCAAAGCTAACGCACATAATATCGCACAAAGAAAAATTCAAAATGGTTCTGAATTTTAATAAATCTTAGTTCTAAAAAATAATTAATTAAAATTTTATTAAAATATTTGTTTGTTTACTCTCTTATTAATTTTTTTACTATTTTAGTCGAATAGTGATGCCAAAAATTAAATTTTCTGAACAAAACTCTGAAAGTCTGCTGAGTATATTGTATTGGATCTGACATAAAAAATATATTTTTTGTACGAAAATTAGTGTAGCACAACTTGTCTTGGTTCAAATCCGCTAACTCTTGAGATTATTCAAAATATTATCAGATTAATTCGTTCAATTTACGACTCTATTCCTGTTTTTTTTCTCTATTCCTGTTTTCTTTCCATCAGCGTTTTTTTTTTCGACATACATACATACATAATTTTACTGTTAACACTCTTTACGCATTATAATTTTTAATTCAAAAAAATCTACATTGAGTAGTGGAAATTTCTTGTAATATAAACAAATATCAAAAGTTTCATTATTAAGACAGCTATATTCATCATATCGGTTATTCAATTGATCCGTAAATTATACAGCAAAAAAAAAATAATTTCAAAATTTTAAAAAAATACATTAGCTACCAATAGATTAAGTATATATATTTTTAAAAATAACTAATTTCTATTTCAAAAATGTCAAAACCCCTAACTTCATTCGATTAGCTTTGAAAAGTAAAGAAATTCTTATTAATAATTGTATAAATTATTTTTATATATGTGGGTACAAATATTTTGCTTATACATACTTATACATATACATGTACATAAGATATCCTTTCAGAAAATTTCACTTGTCAACATTTGAGAAAACAAATTTAATCGTTTTCATCCTATACTACTCATTGTATTTAAATATCTACATACATATAAACATATAAGAATATAAAAAAAAATATCACTTATGCTATGCAGAGGTACCAACAATTCTTACATACTTATAGATAGATATAAAAGGATCAGCGATATACACAAGCATGCATACTTCTGTATAGAGTAAATAATTTTTTCCTTTTGGTTGTGTTTTGTTTTATTTGTGATAATTTATTTTTGTATGTCATGAACTTTCTAGTGAATTGAATGAAACATACTTTTGGATTTTAATTCAAGTTTTGGTTTTTTTTTTTTTGTTTTTGCTCTGTTATTTCTTTGCTTGCTTGCCTTTTGAAAAAAAAAAAATCGGCGCCCGACATCCTGGAACCTAAAAAATTTTTCCAGTTTTTCGATTTTCTCATATAAATTTATATAACAATTTGTGATGGTTGGTAGTCAATTTTTATTTTTATTTTTTTTTTGTTTCCTTCTGCTTCTTTTCCTACTGAAAATTTTGCATTTTTTTTTTTCTTCATATCCTTTTGTAAAACGTAAGGATGTACGAAAAGAAGACTTTTTCTTCTATATGCTCAAATGTAAATTGAATAGAACTTCTAATATGATAAGGAAAATATTGGGATGCTTATTAGAAATCTTTTATGACCGTTGCAATTAATTTCATTGCATTCCAATTTTCTAATAAAATTCTTTCTCTTCATAACTTTTATATTAATATTTTTTAATTCAAATATAAATTTTTGGCCGTAACTCAATTTAATCCGGTATTTTCCTGAAACCTAAAGTTTGCCATTGAAAAATATTTTGAAAAAAATTTTATTAATATGAAATATTTTAACAAGATAGTATAAATATTTAATTTTGGGCCGGCAATTATAAAAATATAATTTTCAAAATATACAACTAAATATTGGTATAAATTGCAACTTTAAAACTTAACACCACTAAATTCCCAAAATTTAAAATTGAGCTACATTTATAACCAATTTGTAAGTAGCATTCCCGAATACAGTTTATAAAATTTATGTGATTTTCAAAGATTAAGGATATAATCGTGTTTATCTCGCTATTTGAGTCTGCAAGTGAGAAGATGACGAAAGTGAATATTAATTGTATAATGTAATTTTCGAGTAAGACGACTTCCGTATCGCGTAACTCATTTTTTCCAAAATGTGTAAAAAATTTAATTTTTATTTATTCAATTAGTCTTTCAAAGTGATAGGTTCAGTCGATAATTTAAGAAAATATCCAATTGAATGCGTAATCTCATTGAAATAATTAAATATCCATTAGAAAACAGGAGAATTCTGATTTTGAAATTCTATAATAATTTTTAAATTATTAAAGTTAATTAAAATAATTATATATAAAAACTTTTAATAGACATAATCAAAGAGCTTCTTTTAATAGCTAATAATTCATTGAACTCGATAAATGATTGCTATTTTTCATAATAAATATTTTATTTTCTATAATTAATAGAGCAGTGGCTTTTACAATAAATAAAAGAAAAAAAAAGTTTTCTACAGTACTAAAGAATTTTTCTAATTTTTCAAAAATGAAATAAGCGTGCAAAAAATAGAATAATTTTTTTAGTGTTAAAATAATTAAAATTTAATACTTTTAAAATAAAAATAAAAAGTAAAAATAAATACGTAGTACTTATGTACCTACATAAATATTTAA